GGATTCACCAGCCTTCGTGTACGGGGGGGGCCTGCATTGCCCGGGAGGTGAGACAGTCGTGCCTGCCTCCTCCTCCTCGTGAGGTTCCCCCAGGTGCCGGGTCCGGCAGCCAGGCTTCTCCGAGAGGGAAGAGGCAGCCTGCCAGGCCTGTGTGGAAGCTGGGCAAGAGAGAGAGAGGTGTATCTAGCTGGGTTTTGGTTGAAGGGAGCACAGAATCATTTTAGCAGTTTAGTTTCTGGGGCTGCGGGGGATCGCCTGGGTCACTGAGTCCCTGCAGTCATGGTAAGCCCATAGAAAGTCCTGGCCATTGCCGCAGGCTTCAGCCCCACCTTCCCTCCCACTCCCGCTCCACAGTGTGGCTAAGGTGATAGTGTACATCTGTGTGCTACCCAGAGAGTAAAGAGGACAAATATGGCAATGGTGCATGAGGCCCTGCATCGGTAAGGAATGGAAAATGATTGAAAATGAATGAAAAGGAGTGTAGATCACTGTGCTCCTTGCTGTAGAGGGGGACATAGAAACTATCAAAACTCCTCACAGACCCCAAATATACCCCAGGTGTATGAATATTAATGTGCCAGGTGAGATCTGAGCCTGAGAGACTTGTCACTTGGGATGTCAGCATACACTGTTGTGACAATTAGCTGCGGTAAATGTAGTGGCTGAAAGGAAGGCAAAGAAACTGAAAGGCAGCTTGTGTAACCAAAGGGAGACTCATTCTCTCCATGTCCTTGCAGACATGCTGCAGGAATGTTGCTTTTGCACATGGGTGTAACTACAGTCTAAATACTGTGAAAGAAATGGATTACAATTGAGCTCCTTTCAAATGGTACTGTTCTAAAAACTGAAAACTACGTTGCATTAATAGTATCTAGCATGAGAACTACAAGTGTCATTTATGAAAGTTTAAGAACATAAATATAACTAGAAGATGCAAGCTATAAAACACGGTTAAGCATTCGTACTATCTCACAAAGTTCAGTATGTGTACCTTTCTGGGATGCCCTTCTTACTATTTCACCCTATGTCCAGACAGGCTTTGGCATCTGAATACCTGAGGCAATAAGCATTTCATAAGCTTTGGAAGTTTTGGTCACAAGCACATCTGTTTATTAGTCTCAGTGACTGCAGTGGAAAAAATTATAAATCTAGCTGATTAACTGCAAATTGAACTACAAAGAGTTTTGGTCAACAAAAACAGACTAGAATTTGAGAACTAAAAGTTTTTAATGAAAATTATTAAGTAGGACCAAGCTGTTACACATTCAGTACAAAAGCGCTGGAATCCAATTGTAAAAGTAACACTGCTTTTAATTCTCTCATGGAAGAAGTACCAGAAATTGCAATTTTAAAGCCTTCTGTCATAGGCTTTACTTTCTAACTTTGGGATCACCATTGCTTCATTAAACAATTCCTTCCATGAATTGATCATCCTACAGCTTAGATAGTTAGCAGTCTTATCTGAAAGGCAATGCCAGCTTTCACTGTAAGCTGCCTTCTCAACCATCTTGTTGATTGTCTTCTCAAAGACAACAAAATTTAATTGTAATTCTCTAAACAGCTCTGAGACTATGAGGCTAAACTGATACAACTGTTTGCTTTAGCTTGCAAATGGTTGTTTACATTTACTTGCAGCACAGATCACTTCCCAGACAATTACTTTGGACCCCCAATGACAAATTAAAGGCCACAATATTTTTTTTCTTTGTAGTTAGTCAAATTTATGCATAAATTAATACAGGTACTACCTTATCCTGTCTCTAAACCTTCATTTGGAGAACTTTGAAGTAAGCTTTTGTTAGTGGTCCTAAAAACTAGTGATTGATATCTGTCAAGTAACGGTTCTTATGTTGTAAATCACCAAGGGATAAGCCAGCAGTTGTAAAGAAAAGTTAGTACTTAACAACATACTCTGAGAGCTTGTGAACTGGAATTCTACTGGAATTGTGAGTAGAGTGCTGAAATTGATACTACCTTGCAAGTTTCTTAGTAGTATTGTGGAGGGAGCTGACTAAATTATAATGTATTTCCTAAATGTTCTTAAAAATGTGCCATAAAATGGGAAAAATACTGGTTAGATTCAGATCTGTGGGATCTTTCCATTGATTTTAATTGGATCAAGAGTGCAGTGAGGGGGAACTCCATGGACTTCATGGAGTTCTCTTGCTAACATCGTATTTGCACAGTGTGTTCTTGTTCTGTATTGAGGAAAATAAAATTACTTGGTTTTGTGTCTGTAGTTTCAGCTCCATTGCAATCCTGCAAAATTATCTTAATATATTTATTCTCTTCTAGGTGACAACCACTAGGCAACTACAAGACTGTGACAATGAGTTTTGTTGAGTATGGAGATACAATAAAGGATGGTGACACAGCTATTGTGTTCTTGGGCCACGAATCCATGTTTCCCGTGAAAGTCCAGCATGGCACCGTAACTCAGACTAAGTATGGGGTCATCAGGCATTCCACAGACCTCATAGGCAAGAAGTATGGCTCCAAAGTGACCTGCAGTAAAGGAGGGTGGGTGTTCATTCTTCATCCAACTCCAGAACTGTGGACCATGAATCTTCCACATAGGACGCAGATTCTGTATTCCACTGACATCTCTATAATCACCATGATGTTAGAACTGAAGCCAGGCTCCATAGTGTGCGAATCAGGTAATAATTAATATGTTTAAATCCTTTATTAAGAACTAACACCAACACTTTTGTGAAAAAACAGACTTATCTTTACATTTTGTAAAAAGTCTCTTTTTTTCCCCATTGTGATAATAATTTTCCCAGCCTACACATTGAATAGTTCTATTTCATTTGCACATATTATCAGCTGCCGTTTCTTCAACAAGTAACGTTACCCTAGTATACTGGCCTTATATACAGGTATACCTTTGAGTATGTGTTTGATTAATTAATCTTCTTAAAATAAATATATAAATATTTTTCTTTCCCTTTTCTGAAACTTTTGTTAAGTATTTCAAAAATATTTAAAATACATGATTTGAATAAAAATTTAGACTTTGAATTTGCAGTTTCAGAGAACATACTTAAGATAACCAAGTGAAAAAAAAAGACTGATGATAGCATGTTGAACTAATAAGGGAAATAAATTGTCAGTATTTATATAATGTGATACCATGTAAGTATATATATTTAATCTTTCTCTTCCTAAGTGTGATCCACTTGTAGCACTGCAGCTGCATGCAAAATCTCCGTAACTTTTTTAATGCAATGATATGTTCATCACAGGGCTGTGTTTTGTTTCTAAACTTGGTTTCATCTAATACAGCATCAGTGACTTTGCTTAATTTGCAAGTAAGGAGTGAAATTTTATATTAATAGATATTTTCCTGGTTAGATACAGTTTATAATAATGCCTTCATGACTTTATTACTGCAGGCAGTGTGAGGCTTGCTTGATTTGATTGCATCTCAGGTTTGGAAAAATATGAACTGAGGTAGTTTGGCCTTTTTTTTTCTGGCTGTTTCCTTTGAGTCTTTTTATGAAGCGGCTTTATACACTTCCCTGTCAAGCATAGATATGGCAAAGGATCAGCAGGACGAGGCTGGGCTGCACTGGATTTTCTTGCATTTGTCATTTCGTGTTCCCACCGAAGCACAATTTCGGGCAGCTTTTTGAGCATGATGACCACTTTCCAACACAACTGAAACACCACTGATCTCTGCATCCAGTTGCACCCGTTAAGAAGCAGGTGGTATATGGAGCTGGTTGCTGTATAGCAGCACTTGAAACAGGCAAAGCCATATAGAAGCCTCTGGTACTGCTAAAATGGTTGGGTCCTATGAGTTTATAGTTTGGTTTGCAGGACGATCAGGCATTTTTAGGGTTGTCATGGGAAGTAGCAGTATTGTTCGTTGAGCAGCTCTTCACCTCTTCCCCGCCCTGCTATGTTTAGACAGGATGGGAAAAATAAACACAGCAAATTATTCAGGGTGAGGGAGATTTGAACTGCTCCATGTCCCATCTCACTCAGAATAAGTGAATGTTAAAGTAGTCAGCTGCACATAAAATGTTTTCAGTAACATCAGAGGTACCTACAGAGGATGAAAATATTTAGAAGCTCATTTTCTAAACAGCTAAGAAATGGAAACACTTTGTAAGGTAACCTACCCAAATTCCCAAAAATGCTATGAGTCAAAAGTCTTAGCCACAAACAATCCTGTCCCCAGGTTTCCTTTAATGCTTATACTGTCAAAGTATTATAACTTCAGCTTTCCAGGAAGAGTGAACAGGCTTACTAGTGTAGTTTTGCTTGTATTACTTGAAAGATTCACTGTTCGTTAAGAAAGAAGGAAAGAGTATTGCATCAAATTAATCTGGTTAACCTTGAAGCAAGACATCTTGCTGCAAATTTGCATGCAACTGACCAGAAGTGGTGATTTGAATTAAAAATTTTACAGGTATTGACAACTGGAGCCTCCAGTCTGATGATGTAACCTACTTTGGTGCCATCCTAAATTAGACAATTTTCAGTGATCCAAAATCATTAGTCCTAGATTGACCTGGTGTGGCCTAGACGGAACCAGCCCAATGGCAATTAATAGAAACAAGACAGGAGATCTGGTCTAGTAATGACTTTTGAGTCTTGCTTCCTGCTGGTGCTGGGTTTAGATGTATTTTGAGCATTAATTAGCATGGAGGTCTGTCTTTATTATTTGAAATTGAACTGATGTCCGTAGTTGCTGCACAGACTGGCGAAGCAGGCACTGTAAACAGGCCAGGCTCTTTTCCTCTTGTCTTACTAATTAGACTGTAGAAGAGTGACCTGCCTTTATCCAGTGCCAGCAAGAATTGTAGATTAGTCTCCACAATGGTATGGAGAAAAGATCGATAAAGTAAGATTAAATACCCTCTGTGTCATGTTGTAATGCTGTGGATATGAGTATAAATGATCTTTTGTGTGTGATTAGAAAAATTCAGTAGAATAACCAGAAGGCTTAATTTTATGTCACTTGAATTATGCAGTTTAAATTGATTAGTCGTGATTTGTCATAAATGGTATAAACGTATTAATACAGTTTTTGCTATTTTTAATCACCTTTAATAAATACATAAAGAGCAAGCTTGTCAGCAGTTCATGTATAATTAAAATGATCCAAGCACACTCTGTTGAGGCTATAAGGGAACTCAGCATCTGCCTGATGTTTCATGACGGACATGTAGGAATATGACCCTTCTCCTGTCTTCTGCTAATTTCTAATTTATAAAGGTATGTTGAAATTTAAAAACTATTAGCACCATTGCTGAAGCTAAGATGACTTGGAAGCATTGGTGCCTGGTCTGAGGAGTTCCCTACTCTGATACAGTCTCTAACAGCCTGATCTTTCCAGAATTAAAGGATATTTGAGATAGCTGATAAAATACCTGCTGTGGGTGGCCTGGTAGTGTGAAGCTTTAATTTTTGTCAGGTAACTCGGATCATTTGCATTCATTGCATGTGCAGCCACTGTCTAGATAAAGGAGTAAGCTGAATCTTTTTGTATGTGTGTGTGTTGCCACACTGTCCAAAACTAATCTTGATGTCAGCTTCCCAGGTAATGCTGTTTTCAGTCCACTGATTACAGCTGCCTGTAGTATAACAACTCCATTTGACAACAGGTTTTGAGGTTTTTAAATTTATTTTTATTCTGCATTGGAAACAATATGAAACCTTTCCGATATTTTTTTCTGAACAAAAGTGTGTGGAACCCTTTTTTTTTTTTTTTTCTTTCCAGTCCCCACATATCTAGGCTTTTTTACTGTCCTGTGTTCCTGATGAGACCTGAATAAGTGTCTGTCCTAACTCTCAGAATTATACGGGGAATGCAGTACAGCATTGTGAAACCTCATTTAATCTGATAAATCTCAGAAATATTTTGGCTTCGATGGAGCATTGTATTTAGACAAAATGTAATTTAGTCAAAAGTATTCTAACCACCATTGCAGTGATCCTTCAGCATTCAACAAAATCAGATTTACATGAGCAAAAATGTTAATTAGACTTTTCGTTTCCTTTCAGCTAAATCCCAAATTAAAAATTGCTAAATGCTGTTCATTGCCACACAGCAATGAGTTTCTGATCCCATAGACTGGATTTCTGAAGACTGAGAACAGTATTCTGGGTCCTCATGGTTTCTCTGTGGAGGAGTAATAAGAGCTGCTGGCTAGCCTAACACTAGAGCTTCTCAAAAACAGTTATGAAATTTTCAAACTCACAGCTTGGGTATAGATTTTGTTAAGAGTACACTCATAAAAAATCAAGGAGAACTTAATGATTAATGGATACTTAATAAATGATTAATAGTTTATTGTGGAGTCCCAGCAAGTTAGCTGTACGCTTATGACTCTTAAGAAGTGCTTTAGACTTTTTGATAAATACTGCTCATGTCTTTACAGTTTTTGTGGCATAACTATATGTAAACTGTTTGCAGCTCTGTCTTTAGTGTAAAGTAAGACCAAAGTTCGTAAGTGTTAATTTGATTTTGGAACGTGCTCATACTAATTAAGTCTACGATTTATAATGTCTCCCTTATGTACCTCTTAGCAGCTGTTCAGGTTAGAAGAATTCAAAAACCCGATCCTTGTATAGCACCTTTTGAAGTATAAGAAAGGCCTCATCACTACAGACATCAGAGAGCATAGTATTCTCTTGATATATCAAAGAACTGAACCAAAACTCTGGCCACATGAGGCATCACTCTAATGCATTCAGACTTGTGGCTGACCTGCAGCTGATAAGGAATGCTCTTCATACCCTAAAGCATTTGTTTCCAGTCTCTCTGGACTCACTTTCATCTTATCATTTCACTTGACCACCACGTGCATTTCCGATGCAGCTCTGAACTTCACAATATTATGTCCGCTCTGCAGAAGATCCCCCGCTAAAGAACTCTGACTCCTGAATCTCTAAGGAAAAATTCTTTTCAGTCTTCACATTCCCATTCCTTTTGTAGGCACTACTAGCCTTGAAAACTTCTCTACTGTCCTTCCCCCGACTCCTCCATCTGGTCAGTAAACAGTGGCCCTCTCTGACCTCCAGTCTGCTGCCTAAAATGCCTACTTCAGTATGGTGCCACAACAGATAGGCAGTTCCCTTCTGTAAAGGGAACTTCATGATTTGCTCTTTCATCTTTCAGCTACCAGCTCATCTCCTTGAAACTCTTTCCTTCCCTTTCTTCCTCTCTCTTTCTGTCCCTGCTCTTGCTGTGTCTCACCTCTGCCACCATGATTTGTGCCCTTGACTATCTTCACAGTAAGATCTTGGGTTAGTTTCCATCAGATATTTAATGTCTCTTCATATATTCGCTAAAAATCATTAATGATTATCCAGTTACATAAACTTGTCATGTACAGTAAGCAGTCTTCCTCTGTTCAGTGTTTCTTGACGGATAATAGCTGTGGAGTGGTTAGCTCTGTCTGAAGATTAATTTTCCTTCGGTTTTGAGGCTCCTTCCGTTCTCATGGCTGACTCATGACCTGTCTTATTATTTGCTAGGTCTAAGTAGGGTAGCTAGGAGACAAATACAGCAACACTGTCATTGTTTTGTTGTATTTACTCATTTTAGAACATCTTAGGTAGCCAAATTTGCAGCAGAAATTCAAGTTTTATTAAAATGTTACTAGGTATTGTAGAGACCCAGTATTAAACAATACTTTGCATA